ATTTATTCTGTGCTCAGGACGCAGCGATCTCTCACATAAGAATAATTAACAAGACGATGTATACATATAACACCAATCTTTACAGATACGGTGCCAAAATAGCCAGGAGTGTATCGAAGAATCGATGCCCCATATGTTGTTTTATTGTGGATGTTATATTGTTAATAACTCAGCGATGGCGGTAGGGCATTGTATTTGCCGAAGTTTCCGTTGCCGTGGGTAGCCTTTCTCAAGGTGGGTATAATAATCAAATGACTCCGAGGTAAAGATGACATTTCATCGTATGTGTTTGTGTGTGTGTGTGGTTGGTTGGTTGAATGATTCGTTGTCTGTCATACCTGTTATCAGGTGTGGTCAAGTGGCACTGTGACCTTTGTCTTGATTACCCGTTAGTGATGTTTGCGTATTCCAAATGCTCGGGATCTCGATTCCATCGTTGACGCACGCAGAGTGGGTATTAATGGCCAAAGTTTCACACACACACACACACACACACACACACACACACACACACACACACCGAAAATAACTCTTATCATTGCCGACAGACAAATTTGGTATGGGTATTGCATGATGAATGGCATAACCAGTGGATAATTTGTTACAACGGTCTACGCGCTAATGGTTGTTTTTTTCAAAGGCAATCGGTATCCTTGCTGCGTGTGTGTTCGTTCGTTCGTTGCCCTCCCTGATTGCTCCACTCGTCTTGTTGTTTCAGCCAAAAGGAAACCGGATGACAGTTTCTATAGTNACACACACACACACACACACACACACACACACACACACACACACACACATATGCATACACGCACACAATGAACTATCTGTTGGCATGTGATCCTTTCCTCTGAGTCATTTTATAGTAAAACCTACCTTGAGAAAGGTTGGCCACGGTAACCGAAACGTCAACAAATACAATTCTCTACCGACATCGCTGTGTTATTAGCATTATATCATTCACAATATTGACTGCTCTCTTTGAAGATCTTTGTTGTAACGGGTTTTACAACGGGAAATGCCCTTCGTTGTGAGGTAGGGATTCGGCGTCCCTTAGTTACGAATGGTTTTATGCTGAATTTAACACTGATAAAACACAGCGGTATTATGGTTTTACTGTCGTTTATTTCTTATTTTGCTTTTGGGAAAAATGTAGGTGTTTATCGTGAGTAATCCATTAACCTGTTTTAAATATATAGAACCATTCAGTTCAGTTCAGTTGAGCTTTTCCACCCGTAACCATGCACTTTCGTGCGCCGGTTTTGGTTGCTGTCTTTTGGTTACACACTTGAATAAAATAGTAGAATGATGATTAGAACGTTGAGAGCAGATTTGAGCGGAAGGTAGCACATTTTCATAGACTGAAGTTACAGGAATAATGAGTAGATGCATGAACGCCACTGTTCGCGACACCCAGCCATTTCGTTCAGTGTCTCTAACCACCGGTGACCATGACTTCTGGGTCCCCAGCCAGGGAGCCTAACGGGATCTATGTGAGCCAGTCTCCTGGTCAAGGTTTTCATAACCGCATGTCAGGTCAACGTGTGTGTCAAATGAAACAGATGTGCGACTTAACGTTTTGCTACTCAAATTCTCAGAGTATCTTTTGAAGTTGTCACGGCATCTAGAATGTTTTGTCATCATTTCACGTTGTCACAACATTATTTCAAGTTGCTCCAATATCGAATTAATGTCCGTGCAGAACATCGACCTCATCATTTTCATTCTACGGAATAGCAAGATTGAGTAGGTGACCAAGCTACAAGCACCGAATAAAGTCTCATGTTTTGAATTGAATGTTTCCAGTGATTGGCTTGGGTGTATCATTGTATCATTACGTTACTCGTATATGACATTCTTAAACGTTTGCATGAATAGATTTCAGTCTATTTTGGTATTAGCTTTCTATGTATTTTGTACATCTTTTGCAGTAGAACACAATGAGTGGTAAAACACATGCCACGATATCAAATGAAACGAGTCTACTTTGATATTCACAGAAAGATTTATTTCGCACCAACGTTTCTTCTGTTTGTTCAGTGGAAACGACGCAGTAATTCGTTTTTAACTAAAAGTACAATAAAAAAGTAATAAATTCCCGTTACTACATAGGAACCGACCGAAAACTCTGTTTTAAATTACGCTGAAGGTATTTTTGTTTAATAAATACATCTCATTGTTCCAACAATGACAGACTAGTGTACTAAATTGATTAAAAGGAACAATTAAGTTAAGAAACCCTGATATTTCAAGGTGTACAGGAGCCGCTTCACCTGACCTACTGTTGCACAAACAGGCTAACTCAAATTCTATATACTTGGTCCCTATCACACTCACACGAAAATTAGTGCTTGTTTGAAAATCATTCTTGCCTATAAATAGGGTCCACTGGTGATATTTTCGATTGCATGAACCTCCTCGTCTTTGGATTCGAATGCATTCCAATAATTGATTAAAATGGGCAACAAACGAAAGGCGTAATATTGAACACAATTAAACGTAATAACAACTCGGGAATACTCATCACTTGGGTGGCGGTGGCGCTGTGGTTTACCCGTTGTCACAGGTGTGCTTTGGACCCTATGGTCCGAGGTTCGAGCCCCGTCACCGCCACCCAAATTTGGTGGTAGGCAGCTGTACTGTCTTCCGGTTCAATATCACGCCTATCCTATCGGGGCCTTATGTGGTTCGCCACTCCAAGCCCCGGGGCTTGGGTTGTCAGTTAAAATCATTGAGCAGCAGGTCTTTGTGACTATGGGGCTTCCTCCGTCTGCTGTCCATCACACGAAAGTGTGTAATAAAAGATCTCACCATGATATTTTTTATTCTTTATATATTTTACTTCTGTGAATTGGAAACCACAGTTTTTTTCCGATTTTATTCACACTATTCGATGCCTGCTTCCTAACACGGTCTGAGTAGCGTGACGGGCAACCTCAACCACCTAGTCAGGATCTACTAATTATGCTCAATAATACATTTAGCAAATTCTGATTGTTTTTGTGACTCTAACGTTTCAACAATTTTTGTCGGTTTAACTTTTATAGTATGTGTGAAACAGGTGCGCATTGTTGCAGACGATAATTGATTTATCTATTTCAGTTTGCTTTTTAAAATACATTTTTATACATTTCCTTTATTTTTCTTAAACCATCAACGTAGCTGAGTTGTATGAGATAAAATTTGTCACAATTATTTCTGTAATGCAAACTGCAATTATGACTCAACTGTCACGGTAATGATGGATCGGTAACCAAGAAGACTCAATGGCCGCAAATTTCAGTTATCCCAAACGATGCTCAATCTCCTACCGTAATTATTCAGATGCATTCGCAATGAAGAGTGAGGGAGAAAGTGTATGCCAAAAGTACGTTGACATTTTTTCGATCTTATCAACATAATCACAAATTAGACCAACCGCAGCCGGAGATGCGCGACCTCGTTCAAATGATGTATGCATGAGATAATCACTATTATGCACAAACCAAGTCGAAACAGTGATTTTACCATCGAGGTTATTCTGGGCTCACTTAGCTATTAGGACAACACTCCCGCCCACCAGAGAAGAGAGAGTGCATAAAACGCTCATCTTGACATATTTCTCATAAGTTCTCAGTACTACCCGTGACGTTAAAATGAGTACGCATACATACACGAATAACTCTTTGCGTCTTGCTAGCCCCTGTCGTTCATTTTCTCAGTCTGACGGTTTTCATAATTAGCTTTCTTTTGCCATCTGTGTAGTTTTACGCGAAATCGTAGAAAAACAAATTATTACTCTTACTCTCTTGTGGGGTATAAAAAATAATGCCAACTTCTGGAGTCCACGCCTTTCGATTTTATCAAGGAATAACCCGCTCAAATCGTTTTAGTGTGCGACAAATGAAATGCAGTTGAATGTTTTAGTATCCGAGAGTAAGATTATAATTGAAGCATACGTTGTATGGTAAGTTGGCATAACTTGTACCCACATTTTACTTTCTGTTCTGTCACAAAACGTCTTGATTCGTTTACGGCCATTTCTACGTAGATATTAGTTTTTGTGTTATGATTTCAGTGTAAATCCAATATTCTATAAATAATTTTAAAGGTATTCGTTATATTCTTCTTCAAATAAAACCAGTTGGCTTCCAATTCCGAGTTTTGGACCGAAACGTCTCCGGGGAGCACAATGACCACAACCACAACTACTTGTCAAATGTCAGCTGTGTCCATCGGTCAAAGGGGTCCCAGTACATCCACCTCATCCGGCCTGAATAACAAAACCAATCTGCGACCATTGTCTGACCTTGCTGATGAATTGGAAACACCCGATCCCGTTACGGTTGGACCCAGTCACGCCGTACAAATAGCCGCAGATGTGCACTCGCATCGTTTAGGTGATGAAATCGTTTCTCCCGATTCTGACACAAAAAGTGGCGGTGGTGCCGGATTGGGGCGTGACACAACTTTGGCTCCGCGAAAGCTGATATCATCAGATGTAAGTGTCACAACCACATCGGTTTCCGTAAGCTCAGTCAGTGGAACTGCTACATCGTCCCACGTAAACAAACCGATCTAATATACCAGGTGAGGCGTCAATGCGTTGTTCGGATTCTGTAGGTGTAAATGTGCCGTAAACTAACTTTCAATTACGGTGTGTGTTGTATTTTTCTAGGAGCATGGTATTGTGATAATTTCTTTGCATGCCCATTTTTCACCATATAAAATGGCTTTAATGATTACAAAATAAGTGTGATGAGCAATACGATATATCAGTACAAAATGGGGTTACATTTCAGCGCATTTCTAGCGTTTTAGGCTGCAAATTTCCGGTAGCGTTTGTCCGTTAATCATTCTCATACCGCTGTTAAACATGTTGTTATCATTTATAAACCGATGACTGTCAAACAATCAAGGAATTTATGATAAAAGGAAAATTAGCTCGAGAATAAAGTACTATCAGCAACAGCTTGTGTGGTCTCCTATTGATTTCGGTCGTGCTCATTGAGTGAAATTGGTCAAATGCGTTCGTAAAACCGCCTCTTTTCTATTGCTTTGTTAACCCAGTACGCTTTGAGAGAGGTACAAGAATTTCCCAGGTCATTATCGCCACTCTAATATCGTGTTTTTCACGTCTGGACAGTACGATAATATGACTCACTTGTCCACATCCGTATCTGTGCTTTCTGAAAAGGGAATGGGAATGGTTATACGTTCCAATAAGAACATCGTTATTTCACATATCTCAGCATCGGTAAGCATTCGATTTTGATGATACTCAGTGATCACTTGCTACCTTGGTGACATTCTTTTCATTTATAAATCCCGTATACTAGTTGTTCCACTGACACCTCTAACACATTGAGGCCCTAACTCATCTTTGTTCAGTTTTCGTTCACATTTTCTGCATAACTACAATTTGGTAGAAAACATCTCATTCACCTCTAGGCAAAAGTGTTTAGTTTTCTAATCGTGAAACAAATAGTGGATGTGGTGCCAAGTTTGTAACACCAGTCCTTGAGCGCGAGGCAGCCGAACTCTTAACAAGGTGATAGTTTTCGGGACACAGTTCGCTCATACTACCCTCGGTGAACTGCCTTTTCCAATGGAATGACGTTTGGATTTATCATACGTTGGCAATGAATTCACTGTTCGTTTTTTACGGTAACACGTGAGAATTCAAATTGAAATTCGTACGCTCTGTGCTTCATTGCTTCTCCAGCTTTCATCCTTCCATTATCCCGAGCGAAACACGTCGAATATGTTTGATCTTTGTTTGGCGGGTACGCAAAGGCACAAATCAACTGAGTTTGTATGTGTGTGCTTCTTCGATCTCTTTATCCATTGTTTTTTTTCAAATCAACAATAAATAGGATACGGATAGAAATTCTTTTCGCGTAGTAGCCACCAACGAACAACAAACACGCTATCACGATCCGTTTAATTGCATGCCGAGATTTTGTCCATCCTTGCTAAAAACACGAAGTCACTACGAATGCGATCATACCTTGAAGAAAAGCCAAAATAATACACAAAGACCATGTATGTGGCAGTATGTGACGGTTTTTCATATGGTGCGTGTATTGGGGTTTACTGTTTGTCAATCCAACAATAAAACTGATGTATACGCTGCGATTAACTTCCGGATGGCTACGGTTAGAAATGTGTGTAGTCACCTTAACACCATCACATCGATTCGCATTTAAAGTGGCTACAGAAATGTAAGTCTTTTGTGATTGGCACTGCGCACAACTGGGCCGCTGAATACACATTCGTTTGGAGGCAATATCAAATTTTTATTTACCACGTTCAACATTTGGTGTCTTCTGAATAAATGAACATCATAATTCAAATGTTTCATGCAATTGAGACAGGTTCGGTTTTAGGTTTGACGTTTTTATTATATTCAATGAACGCTTCTAGATGATTGATGATAATTTGTCATAATATAATTGTTTCTCTTTAGAGTATCAAGCTTGGATTAGCCTGGTGCCTCTGAACAATCGAATGGGCTAATCCAAGCTTGATACTCTAAATTGATTGAGCCATTCGCACAAGGTGATAACCGTCGGCCGTGTAGCTCAGGGGTAAGGGTTTGAAGTCCCGACCCGACTGATCACGGTTCGAGTCCTGACAGGGACACAAAAAGTACGCACTGCTGACGAGTCCCAAACAGGACAAAACAGCTGTCCAGTGCTCTTTGTTGGTTATCACAAACATTTCCATCGCATTTAAATGCATAATTGTTTCTCGCCTAATATGACAAAACCAGGCCCATACAACTAAAATAAGCGACGTATTTTTCTATTCATCACGTTTCTGATCTGAGTATTTTCATGCCAGCCTATCCCAGTTCGATACGCACTACATTGAGGATTAAAATCACCCAATTTCACCTTAAAAGTTATCGTTAAAATTCAATCATGAGATATCACCGTACTAGTTGCGAAACGAGATTAGGTTGTCCAATAACAAGCGCAAGGTTCAATTCATTTAAAGTCTGCCTTTGATTTCGGAAAAAGTATTCTTGAAAATCTATCGACAGTAGTTTTAAAAATTTAGAGTATCCATAAAACATTTATCTGCAAATTGAATAACCACTAAGACTTCATTTTTCGTATGTGTATTTATAAGAAACATGTTCAAATCGAGCATGCTTTAAGATGAACAAAGCAGGTATACACGCGTTCAGTTCCTAACTATGCTCACAACTGCATTCCTTTTTCATCTTCGGTGATCTCGCCTTAAGTGATTATGGTTTCCGTCATGCATAGTAACCGTTCCCTGTTGTTAGGTAGCAAAGCGGAATACAGACTTACGATTGTGGACCACAAATTACGGCAGTTTTCCAGAATTGTCTCAGAGTTTACTGTATTCTCTCGTTATGACCGTATTAAATATTTTGTCAGTATTATTACAGCTAAAGTGTATGCTGAGTAGTTCAAAAATTGACCCCCCCCCCCGAATAAATTTCTGTACTATTCCAGGGTGGTCACCTGAACAACGCCAGCAACTACAATATTGCAAACAGTTATGGAGCTCCTTGTTCTGCCAAGGCGAGGATGGAATAAACTATAAAGATGCACTCCAAAATGTGCCGGAGGTGTCAGTCTGGTGAGAAGTTTACAAGAGCCTTGGTTACCTCAAATTATACCACGTACCGAAGAACCAAAAACGGGATTGATTTTTACATTCAACAGTTGTTATATCCTCAGTTCGCCCCCTTGATGAATTCGCGTATCTACGATTGCCACCCTCGGCAGACAACACGTGGACCACTTGGAGTGATATTTCCCTGTCGTTTCGCGCGTGCGTGCGTGTATAACAGAAATCCCATTCATCTTTCGTTTACTCCCCATGCATTCCACTTGAGATCTGGTAAAAAAGCAACAAACAAGGGTAACAATTCGTGCTCCCCTTTAGACTAACGCCTCAATCCATCTTCCATAATTTGCATTTACCGCTTTCATTAAAGAGCAATAAACTAGGCGGTACACCTTGTATGTATACAGAGCTCTAACATTCATTAACTGAAAGTACGATAAAATCAGCAAAAGAATCCAACAACACCCCTCCCAATTGTCGAAAACGCCATGTAAGTGACCTCACACATTTGTTCCTTTTAGATCTGATTTAGCTTACTTTTCAATCATGTTCGTGATCGACCTCGTCCGAGGTGCAGCAGCTTAGCCTTTATCGCTTTATCTTCTACAGATTGTCTTACATTTTCCAGTCCTAACAGCCACCCAACCCATTCCCACACCAAACACATCTCGTCCCCTAAATGAATCACATTACTATGTGTACCTGTAATTTCTGCTTCCCAAGATCTGTGACTTTTATGCTCATAATACCATAGTTAGATGGCGGATGGTCAATACTTCGCTTAGAGAACAGAGACAACCCGCATTTTGGTACTTACCGTTTCCGCCATCTTCATTGGTATGTTTGTGTCTGAATGTATGCCTGCACGTCTGCAAGTCCGATTGCTGATCTTCTTAATATCAGCATCCCCAGTGTTTTGCTCACTAACACTCGCGTCAGGCCTCACACACAAACTACCCCGCTCCCTTTTTCTCGTTACGTCTTAGTTTCTTCTGGCGGATCTCTATCCCATCTCCTGAGCTTTCTGGCTGCTTGCTTGTTCAGTCGAGGTTTCCTCCCTCTTCAAAGATTTCATTTCACCACACCTTAGTAATAGAAAGATCTACGAGTATTCATGACCTCATTACTCGAATCATTATCATCATCATCGCCAACGCTCTCAAATCCAATCTTTTCACCTGCCTCCCATCCATCTCAGTTTACAAATTCACACATTCTTGATACCTCCATCGCAGCTCATCAGAATCAAATGTATTCACTCTAAACTATGTTTATTGTCTGTTCCGGAACCGTGAATTAGCAAGGTATATTAAGTGAGGGCAAGAACGAGATATGGTGGATCCGGAAGGAAATATTGGAAAAGTACTCATTCACCCTTATATATTTGTATAGAAATATATATATATATATATATATATATATGTGTGTGTGTGTGTGTGTGTGTGTGTGCGTGTAGGAGACCACTTGCCAACAGACGTAGTGTCAACGCAACAACAATAATATAAGAAAGCAGGAAAATGGGGGTCGAAAGGTTATAGTGACGAACAAGAATAACAATTTTTTGTTTGTTTCTCTATACACCTTTTTGATATTTTTTGTGTGTTAGAGCTGACTCACGTTTTTGTATGCTTGCCTCAGCGGAAGCATCATCCTCCGAATGCCTCAGTATGATGGGTTTGGGGGGAAGTGGATGTCTTGGATTGTGAATGGTCACCCTTACCTGGCACCTCGCGATACGACCAAGGGTCTCAAATAGCCTCTGCTGAGGATGCCCTACTAACAGCCTTCATCTGGCGGAGGTGTTTTCTCACTAAAGCGAGAGGACGAAAAGCCAACACCCGGGGGTATAACCGGGTTGGCGAGTCAGTGGCAGTTGATCAAAAACTCCGTTTCCAAGTCATCCAAGAGGAAGTGTGCACACACCTTCCTGGTTGTGGCATTTGTCATCGGTTCAATTGGGCATCGGGGTATATG